GGCTCCCCAGTACGAGAAGGACATGGAGCTTCTAGAGAGGGTCCAGTGTAGAGCAACAAAGATGATTAAGGGACTGAGGCATCTATTATATGAGGAAAGACTAAGCAAGCTGGGCCTGTTTAGTCTGGAGAAGAGAAGGCTGAGAGGAGATTTAATCAACCTGTTTAAGTACCTGAGGGGTGAAACGTAAGGAGGATGGGGCCAGGCTCTTCTCTGTGGTGGCCGGTGACAGGATGAGGGGTAACGGGTGTAAGTTGAAAAATAGGAAGCTCCATCTCCATATGAGGAAGAACTTCTTTCCTGTGAGGGTGACAGAGCCCTGGAACAGGCTGCCCAGAGAGGTTGTGGAGTCTCCTTCTCTGGAGATCTTCAAAACCTGCCTGGATGCCACCCTGTGCCACGTGCTCTAGGTGTCCCTGCTGGGGCATAGGGGTTGGACTAGGGGATCTCCAGAGGTCCCTTCCAACGTCAACCATTCTGTGGTTCTGTGATTTTCTCTCATTTTCCATTTACTTCCTATTTAAAACGAAAATGCTACCAGGCAAGAAAAAAAAAGTTGGGTATTAAAACATAGAAAAGACTTAATAACAGTCCCTGAAAGAACTTTACACAGATTGTTCATAGAAATTAATGGCCACCCAGTTAAAACAAACTTACTCATACCATTCTTGCTTTGCTTTGGTTTTCCTGGTGTGTTCCTCCCATTGGCACTTTCTATTTTATGATTATTTCCCAGCCATCTGTTGTCTTTTCTTTAGCCAAAATAATTTCCCTTTATAATTTTGTGAGTATTCATGCATGTGTTACTCTCACACAGATATCTACTTACTAATCCTATTCATATATAAATAATCACCAAATAATTGGAGCAATTTGTCAGGGTTAAGATATTGTGGGTGAACAGAAATCTGTATGCGAAGCTTGAAAATGTGCATTGTAACTTCTTCTCGTTGATAGGGATGTAATGGATATAACTTTTTTTGTTCAGTTGTAGATCTTCACTTTATTACTTCTCTGAAGCCAGTGCACTTTCCAGGCTGTCTCCCTTTCCAGGCTTTAGTCAGTAAAGCAGACGTTGTGTAGGTGCTGCTGGTAGGCAGCAGGGGTAAAGTTGGAAGTTCAAGGGTGTGAAATGTGTTTTTATTCCCTTCATGCTATTTGTATCGACAGCAAAACGTTCTAAGCTGAATAAATGCAGCCTCCGTGGGGGGAGGCGCGTGGCTAAGGTTGTGCAAATCCCTGGACAGAAGCAGGCCAGTTTTGCTGACTACAGGTGTAACACTAATTCATAGGCGTTCTCCCTAAAATATGAGCATTTATAATCTATATTGAGATAGTTTTTGAGTTAAAAAGGAGTAATATTGCTACTTGATTGGTAAATCAGCACCAAGAGTGCTGATTGGCTTGCACAATACTGTTCTCTTAAATGTCAGGATTGACTGACATTTATTGAGATTTAAAAGAGGGGAATACTGGAGGCTCATGTGGTGACTTAAAATGTGTGTTAAAAGGCAGCTCCTAGTGCTGATAGTGTGGGTGTTTCAAAGGAATCGCAGAGGAAGTTTCTGGCGTCTTCTAACCAATTGTTATTTGATTGCCAAAAAGCCTTGGAATTTTTACCTTAGAAAAAAAGGCTTTTGCTCCCCACATAATCGTGTGGGATGTCTGCACTGCCTTTCCAACTGCACACATCCCCTGCATACGAAAAACCTTGAGTGCAGAAGAGCTGCAAAGTAAGAAGTAGCAATGGGGCTATCAGCCAGGTTTTCCTCCCAGAATAAACTATGTTAAGGCTTCCCTACCTGAACTCGGCGTTCGTATTTTACATTTTACTCCTATGATCTCTATATATGGCTGCTTAATCACTTCATTGTTTTTCTTACCCATTACAAAACCACAACTTGAATAACTGAGAAGTGCTGCCTAATGGCAAACCTGAACGGGGTCTTACTGGTTTGAGCTAGTTGGCATCACAGAGGCAAACTGCCTTTTCCTAGTGTTTTGCGTGAATACTAATGGAAGATTAAATCCAAAGTAACCTCAAAGTTTTAATTGTGTAAAATGCAGTTATTAGTATTTCTGCAAGATATTTCAACATTTCTCTCTGTGATTTACTGTGTTTTACACTGATTCCAGTAAAGCACAGCGGTACATTCAGAAACAGGTCCTGCAGCAATACAGTTTCCTGTTGGATGGGCAAAGGCTTTTTTAAAACAGAGCCCCATCCCAAGTACTGATAGCATCAGCAACTAGTTTTTCATTTAGGGAAAACCTTGTAAAGCAAAAGCATGTTTGTGTTCTTGTAAGTTTTTTTTTTTTTCCTTCCATCTTTCTTTCCTCTAAGTGTAAAGCAAAAGCATGTTTGTGTTCTTTTAAGTTTTTTTTTTCCATCTTTCTTTCTTTCCTCTAAAGTTAGGGAAAAGTACATTTTCTTATCCTGATCTATCTGCTGTCATCCCTGTAATTCATGATTCAAATCATGGCTAACAGGCAATGAGAAAATAGAAGAAAACCAAAGAAAATGGAGAAAATTAGAATGCAGGACACTCTCTAGGACTCTGCTTCATTCTGTGTTATGTGAGGGGCATTGTCAGCACGCTGATCAGGGTCACAGTGGAAAAACACTGTGTGCTTGTCCCAGGCAAAGCAGGAGCCGGCTGCGCCTCGAGGACCGACACTGTCACCTAGGACTTACCTGAATGTTTTGGATTTGCTTTGCAGCTCAGACTCCCCTGTGGTTTTACACGTGCAGGGGGAGGAGCAGGGGCACATCTGCCTCTTGCAGAAAATCAGTCAGTTATGAACTTCAGGCTTTTCCTGTGGGCATTGCTAGATACTCAAAAGCTCACCGAAGAAAATTTACTTAGAATTTTAAGACCTTAAAAATGGCCCTATTTGCTAACATAATGGAAGCATTATAAAATGGCCGTTTGATTAGGAAAGGCGGCTGTGCCGTATAAGCCTGTCCCCCTGCCTGGATAGTGGCAATATAAGGTTTCCTTTAGATCAGCCTGGCTCACTTCCTTGGTTACTGCAGTGCAAGGGGGACTGGGCGCCTGTTGGCAACATGACATGAGTGTGAGCCGAGTTTGTATGCACACTGCTTACATGTATCCATGGAGAAATTAATCAATGGAGTAGGACAACAAGCTCTACAAAAACATAATGTGTATTTTAATATATATTTTAAATATTGCATTTTTTTAACCCCATCTAACAGAAATTTTAAAAATGTCCACCTGAGAGCATTATGGTGCCCAGCAGCCAGATCGTGTGCCCCTGTGCACACGTGCACAGGAGTGGCGTAAGGAAAAGGCAAATACCAGCCAGTCCAGCGGTGCAGCGGAGATGCCCCCAGGGAGGTCTGGCTGCCGCCTCGTTACAGCAGAGCTGGGACATGAGCCGGGGCCAGCAGAAATCCCGGCAAGCCCAGAGCCCAGCTGAGCACCTCGCAGACACTGACCTGCGCTGGGGCTTTGCCCAGGGAAGCCAGGGCCCCAGGGGATGTGGAGAGCCCTCAGGATCACCCAGCAGCGAGGGGATTTGCTGGAAACACAGCAAGGTTGGCCCTAGGAGGCTGAAGTGGGAATGATGTGAGATTTAATCTTTTCCTCTCTTTCATCATCTATCGAATGGTCATAAAGCTAAAAAACAACTAGTCTCCCTTGCTTAAATAAAAAAGTAGAAGGTACGTAATGCTTACTGGAGATGGAAAAGGTTGCTGAGCTGGATCATGTGCTTCTGAATAGCAGAAGTTTGTAGGCAAAGATGAGCTCCTACGAAAGTCTTCCTTCACGCAGTTTCAATATTGATATAGTTAGACATATAGTGTGTATTTAATTTTGAATTATATTAATAACATGATTAATATTTACTTTCTTAACAAAGCATGCAAAGACTTACAGCTTCTGTACCTCTGAGAGGAATAGCAAATGACAACAGGTTCCCACTACCGTGGGTCTAGAGGAGTCTTCAGGTGGTTTCTAGGTGTCTGCCCTGCAGGGCTGGGACACGTCTGTCCCTGCTGACTGTCTGCGAGCACGTCCAGTCCGTGCGGAGCGGTGCTGCCTGATGCAGTGCGACCCTGACCGCCAAACTGAGCAGTGCTTACCTTCACGGGGTGATACAAAATAAGCATACCCTTGTTGTTTTGGCTGTGTGCTGTCAGCCCTGAAGAAGCAGCTTATTTCTCAGCATTAGATATAACATTCCTATAGGGAATTCTTAGAGCATGCTTCTTGTAGAAAACCCTTTACAATGTTGAAGTCAGCTGGCAGGCTTTTGAAGAGTAATCACTGCCATGTACTTGACAAATACATCAGAATATTGTATTAGCAGAGAAACATAGGTACCTTCATTATTTTATTAATTTACATTAGGAAATTGTTCCACTGAAATCAAAACAGAGCTCCATCTATCATAATAAAAGTCATTTGCATCTCTTGCTTGGGCAGGCAGGATGAATGTCATCAAACAGTGGGAAACGCTTCTGCTCGGGATTTTAATTCGATAGAGGCCAATTTACACAGTAAGAAACAACCCCCGAGACTGCAGAGCAGAGCTGGCCGCAACATTGCAATGGTTATGAGACACCCGTTTGTGCAGCCTTCCTCGGGTTAAGGGGAATGAGGCCCACCCTACGTTAGAAGTCTTGCAGGTGGTTACATCGGAGTCCCTCTCCAGAACGCCGTCCTGGAGCAGTTCTGGTTTGTTAATGTGCCGAGAGCACAAATGGAGCACGGTGTGTCTGCCGCAAGGCGGGTGTTAACGTTTACACCCGTCCTCTCCCTGAGCACAGCGGCGTGTGCATGTGCCGTGTGTCTGCGCGGCCACTCAAAAAGGCAGCATGAGTGACTGTGTCCTTGCAATTATCCACTGGCATCCTCCCTTACAGCCTCCTTCCCGGGTTCCCTGTCTCCCAGCGGGAAGCTCCGTTCCGCTGCTGTTCAGTAACAGGCTTGAATTCCGCTGTTCATTCTGCTCTTGTTTGCAATTTGCAGGAGAGCTGCTCCCTCTGCTGAGTTTTCTGTGGACAGGCACCGGCACCTCATGTCCTTCCTGACCATGCTGGGGCCCAGCCCCGACTGGAACGTGGGGCTCTCGGCGGAAGAGCTGTGCACCAAGGACTGCGGCTGGGTGCAGAAGGTCGTGCAGGATTTAATCCCATGGGATGCCGGCACGGACAGCGGTGTCACCTATGAGGTGTGTGGACCATGAGGAATGTATGCAAAGCATAAGGGTTGCCTTAAAACTGGGAAAAATGAATGCTGTTCCATGCATGATGATGTCCTGGATGTCTTTATACTACTTTACTAAAGATATTGCTTATAACAAAGCTAATTTAGATACTGGCAGCAGATACTGTTCCTCAGTGTGTCTATGTTCCCTGAGAGTTAAGGGAATAATATTCCATTACATTCCTCTGGGATATGCTGACACTTTATTTTTAATTCTCGTTTATCTTTATGATTGCAGTCTCCCAACAAACCTACAGTTCCTCAAGAGAAGATCAGACCACTTACAAGCCTCGATCACCCCCAAAGTCCCTTTTATGATCCCGAAGGAGGTTCTATCAAGCTGGTAGCCAGAGTGGTAATCGAGAGAATTGCCCGCAAGGTAGTACTGCAAATAATCCCCAAGTAACTCTTCAGAAAAGGAAGATAAAATAAAATAAATAAATAAGTAAACCTTAACCCTTCCACAATCATTTATTTCAGGGGGAGCAATGCAATATCGTACCTGATAACATAGATGATATCGTGGCAGATCTAGCACCAGAAGAAAAAGAAGAAGGTACTTTATAAAATAAATTTGTGCTGTTTTATATTTTGTGCCATTTCTAGGTAAAGTACAAAACTGACTAAGGAGCAGAAGTCCCACTTGATGTGAAGGAGTGATTTAGTTTTTAATTTTTCACTTTTTTTGCTACCTTCTTTTTAGCTTTACCTGCTTGAGTATGTGACAGCTGACAGTAAGACCAAAAGTAATAGAACAGAAGCTTTTTAGGGTTAAAAAGGTGTGTGTTTTTTTTTTTTTAAATATTAAAGTTGGCAATTCCCCCCCCCCCCCTACGCACACCCCCGGTTTACATGGAGAAGTAGCGTGGAAGCAACTTACTATATTAACATGTAATCAGCAGCAAAGAGAAGCAAATGGAGGACAACATATATTTAATTTCCACTGCCTTCTCTTATTTCTAGATGACACCCCAGAGACCTGCATCTATTCCAACTGGTCTCCCTGGTCAGCCTGCAGCTCCTCTACCTGTGAAAAGGGCAAGAGGATGAGGCAGAGGATGCTGAAGGCGCAGCTGGACCTCAGCGTACCCTGCCCAGATACGCAGGATTTCCAGCCCTGCATGGGCCCCGGCTGCAGTGATGAAGGTAACTGGGGGAAAAGGTGGAGGAGACGAATGGCCCCTAGGAGAGGGAAGAGCTTCTCTTCCCAGTTCTTAAAGCACTGCCTGCCATGTGACTTGAGCTAGTGCAAGCAAGAGTAGTTGCTGGAGATGGCACACGGGCCAGGAGCCTGCGGCAGCGTAAGGAACGAAAGGAGCGAGGTCAGAGCCACGGGGATGTGAGAGGCAGCAAGGAAGCAATTCTGTTGCCAGCTGGGCACGTGCAGATTCAGCAGGGAGGCGGGTAGTGGTCGTGTGAATATTAGCGATTGAAACGGTCCTCTGTATTTTAGATGGTTCCACTTGCATGATGTCTGACTGGATTACCTGGTCCCCCTGTAGTGTGTCCTGTGGCATGGGAACGCGCTCTAGAGAGAGATATGTAAAGCAATTCCCCGAAGATGGCTCTATGTGCAAAGTGCCCACTGAAGAGACTGAGAAATGTGTTGTAAATGAGGAGTGTTGTAAGTATTGCGTTTAGCTCTGCAAAAGCCGGTTGAGGCCAGGGGCACTGCGGAGAGCGTGTCCGAGCTGAGCTCGCCCAGTGACCCGAGTCCCCCTGCCGTCCCCAACAGCCCCCAGCAGCTGCCTCGTCACCGAGTGGGGCGAGTGGGACGAGTGCAGCGCCAGCTGCGGCCTGGGAACCAAGAGGCGCCACCGAATGATCAAGATGAGCCCCGCTGACGGCTCCATGTGCAAGGCCGAGACCACGGAGGCCGAGAAGTGCATGATGCCCGAATGCCGTAAGTGCCCGTGGCCACGCTGCCCTGCCAAGCAGGGCGACGCTCACTACCTCTGTCACAGTGACACAGAACTGCCAGGAGCAGCTTCTGGGTTGAACCCCACGAGTGTGCTCGCCATACGGTGATGCGTGTAGTAGCATGGCCTGTGTATGCCGTTATGATCTGGGGGCTATGAGATGTATTTAATGAAAAGACTAGCATAAGAAGGTACCCTTACCTTTTAGAAATTGTGGTTGTGCTGCACCGGTCAGCCAGGCTCTCCCATGGCACTTAAAGTCTAAAATGTTGCAATTATTTATTTAGCACATTTTATCTACTAAAATACAAGTTTTTACTATAGTACTTGCTGTCTCTGAGGAAAATCTTAGGAGACTATTAAATGCTATAGGAGAAAACTCTTTATGAGACCAATACATAGTTTCAGATTAAATATATATTATATATATAAAATTATAAATTATCTATTTTATGTATAATTACATATATTTGAGTATTATGTTTGCATATTAATATTTTAATATGTAAATAAAACCATACATTGCTATCTAATTATTTTATAATTTTGTTTTTATTCATATATTTTATATTACATATTCAATTATTTTTATAATATATTTTTATATAGTTTAAATATCATCTAATATATACAGCAACATAATTTGTAGTTGCAGTTGTAGTAATATAATTATAGCCTATATACATACAGCTTTTTCTAACTGAATTTATTTTTCAAAATAAATTTTTGTTTTCTTTTTCTTTTCATTTTAGATACTATTCCCTGCCTTCTGTCTCCTTGGTCAGAGTGGAGTGACTGCAGCGTAACCTGTGGGAAGGGAATGCGAACCCGGCAGAGAATGCTGAAATCTGCCGCGGAGCTCGGAGACTGCAACGAGGAGCTGGAGCAAGTGGAAAAATGCATGTTACCTGAATGTCGTAAGTGTGGGAAACACTGGGAAAATGAAGGCTGAGTTAGGAGCTTTTATTACTCTGTGCGCTCCTGTTAGGTGATGCAAGCTCTGTTCTTTCTGGCAGTGTTTCTACATTCCCTTTGGATTTAGTTCATTTTCCCCGTTTTTATTCAGGTTCTCTGAATGCTCCAACCTACTGATTATGTTTGCTTTGTGCCCTGCCAGCACCCCCTTGGAAAGGGGGACTGAGGGAGTGGGCAGTAGTATTTTTGCTGGTGACCGACTCCTTGGGGAATAGTGCTGGGTAGTGTCACAGGTTTTGCTGAGAAGCTGGGGACTTAGGTGGCTTTCAGGTGTTGGGGTGCAGCACCTCCCTGCTTTCACTCGCCTTTCTGCCGCTTTGCAGCCATTGACTGTGAACTAACCGAGTGGTCCCAGTGGTCCGAGTGCAACACATCATGTGGAAAGGGCCACATGATCAGGACGAGAATGATCAAAATAGAGCCGCAGTTTGGAGGAATGGCCTGCCCAGAAACTGTCCAACGAACCAAGTGCCGAGTACGGAAATGCCTGCGTGGCCCCGGCCTGGAGAAAAGGCGATGGAAAGAGGCCCGGGAGAAAAGGAGAAGTGAGCAAGCGAGGAAGCATGCCGACGGTGAGCAGTACCCAGGTGAGCGCGACGCCCCCGCTCCGCGTGCTCGTGGGTGCTCCACCGTTCTGTGGAGCAGCTCCAGCTCACACCATGGTAACACATGCTGGTATTAGAGTCGAGGCCCATTTTAGCAGTAAAGTAAAGCTGCTCTCAGTGCTTGCCTGTCATCAAACAGGAAGTGACACAAAAGCTGCACCCCTGATGTAGAAAGTTTTTGTTTAAAGTATTTACTCCTGGATCCGGTAGGAAACCTCAAAACTGAGCAAATTCCCATCACAGTAATATCAGTCAGATCTGCTCAGACTTTTTTTGTCCACAAGGCACAGGAGTATCAAAACCTGTTGCTTCAGATCAACAAAATACAGTATTCTACGATACAGCTCACATTATCCAGATGTGAATTACTATTAATTTGTGGTGCATGTTTGTCCCACTTTCAACAGCTCATTACTTTTATCTGCTTTATAATGTAATTTTAATTACCTTATATTATTAGATTATGATGTAAATTGATCTTTCAGTATATTTTTTTCAGTATTTGTCAAACGTGCAATGATTATAGTTGTGGGTCCTTACCTGCTACTGTAATAAACTATAGGCAAGGCAGTATGTTATACTCAAAGCCTGCAAAGGAGATAGATACATACTGACGTGTGCAGGTTAGTCCCACAGACTGGGAACTGAATTAGATGCTGTTTTGTTCAGTTTGCAGACTGAAACCATGGACTGCTTGGACAGAGTGCTCTGCGCTGTGCGGAGGCGGCATTCAGGAGCGCTACATGATGGTGAAGAAGAGGGCCAAGACCACTCAGTTCACTAGCTGCAAAGACAAGAAGGAGCTAAGGGCGTGTAACGTTCATCCTTGTTAGCAGGACAGGAGGCTTCCGCGTGCTGCGCTCTGAGCTAAATGGAAAGTCAACCTTGGTTTGTTTTTTTTAAAACAAACAAAAATATATAAAGTGTATATTAGTTTTCATTTTTGCAGTGTGGTTTGCTTTTTAGTCTTGCCAGTGCAAGAAATGTATTTTATAAATATTTCCTCACAGATATATGCTGAGAGTAAATCTGATACTCCAGCTGGCCCTTAATGCATAAAAATAGTAACTCATTGTGAATCATTTAACTGAAATACAGACATATCTGTGGACATGGAATAGCCATATACAAATAGTACTTGTAAAGACATGGGATGCATGCATATTAACATAACTAGGTTAAAGTGACATGTTTTGTACGTGGAAGGATTGCTCTCTTGAGTTGATTTCAAAAATCCAAAGCAGTGCCTATGTGATTACGTAACTATGCCAAGGAAAAATTCAGTAATGCTGGTTCAGACATTTTAAAGGTGCATATTTATCTTTTCACACTATTGAGTTGAACTGATATAATTACCTTATACACTTTTCTTCTAATAGATGTTATGATACCTTGCAAAATAACTTTTGGTTTTTTTAAAAATTAAAAAGGAAATAATTTGTGCAGCATAATAATGATGTCTGCCCACTGTATAGTCATAGCCAAAATAGCACATACAGCAAACGTGAATATCATGTTTTTTAGATGCCATATGCTTCTATTTGGTCCATCCACTGCCTCTCAAAATGGATCTAGAACTACTGAAATTGGTCCAAATGCAGTCAGCTTCAATAGTTTTATAATGGAAAGCCCTATGGGAGCGAGTGAAAACTAGGGTTTGTTTAGTTAATAGGCAGTAAAGAAAGAGTTTTAAAAATGATAAAATTATCATAAAAATAATAGAAAAAAAAAGAGCCAAGTTTTCATACATCTCTACTAGCAAAGGGCAGGGAGTCTAAAGAGAAATGAGGACAAACTCTCAAAATATTAATTACAAAGATATTTAAAGCAGTGGGTGGCATTTATGTTTTTATACGTGCGAGTTCAGAAGAAAATCTGGAAATTACCAAATTTATGAGAATTGCAGGGCTGTGATCTGTAGATAAGAGTAGCCAGGATAAATGTGTTCGCTGAACAAGCTGGCTCCCACCAAGCTGCCTGAGCTCAGCAAATGGCTCCTGAACAGTTCTAGCCGCTTCTGCTGTTTTAGACCTGCTTCTGCAGAATTTAGTTCTCAGCGGAGCTGGTGAGTGGGTAAAGGACTAGAGAGCTTGGCCCTCACTTGCTACTGTGACATGAAACTGTCTCCTACGTTTAACAGTTGACCATTTAGGAAGAGAGATAAAGGTGGAGGGTTATCTCTCTGTGCAGGTAAGGTAGCATACACCTATGTCTCTACATGAATAACAATGCACTGAAAACAAAGACTGTTGCTGATAACACTTAAAAACAAGCTTGAGAGAAATGAATGGAAAAATATTTTATAGTCTCTTTAAACCAGCCTTAACTAATTGACTGCCATCCCTAACCCATGATCACAGTCCTCATAACTGGACACGCAGGTTTTAATCCTCCCCCTTCATGTGGCCACTGAGCCGCGTGGGCTCTGGGCTCTTCGCCATGGGCTCCTCGGGGAGCCTCCTGCTGCCTCCCGGCACCTCGAGGGCAATGTCGGCGGGGCCTGCGCTGCTCCGCAGGGCGCTTCATCGCTGCTTCTCCGCCAGATGCTCCAAGGGTGGCTCAGGACTCCAACAACCGTGACTTCCCACCCTCCTCTGCAGGGTTTTACTGCTTTTATTAGACCCACAGTGAAGGGAGGCTGCTGAAATGATGGACCCAACTGCAGTGCTGAGTGCCTCCCGCTCCTGCTAAGTGACAGGGGTGCAGCCCAGAGGGAACCACACCAGGAGGGAATGTAAAACAGTAAAAGGAAAAGTTTAATGTTAAAATCTAGACACACTGCATTTTGCACAGCTTCGCTCACATGAATATTAGTAATTGGATCGAGTGCTTCCTTGTGCCCGCTGGGAAACTCTGCTCTGTGGGTGTGTGTGTGTGCGTGCGTGCGTGTGTGTAGCAGTGGCATTACAGTGCACCTGCTAGGCTCCCCTTAACCAATATATTCAGGAGCTTACCTTGCATGGACCATTTTGTGGACCCAAAAGCCCAGGTTGGTGGAATAACGCTGGAGCTGCTGAAGCTGGGAGGTGAGCAATGAGGGCAGCCCAGCTCCACATCGGCAAACGAACACTGAGGCTACGAACCTGCGACCCACGGAACAGCTTGGAGGGGGCAAGTATAACTTGAAAGAGCAAAAAATAAAGTTATCACTTTAGGGACTGTATTTTAGCTCCTCAAGCCATACCGCGTACGCTAATCCTGTCAGACCATGCCTGCTTCTGTAAATAATCATAATACTAAGCAGGCTTCATCTTTCATGTGTGTTCAGTTCATCAACTTCTTTTGTCTTCTATTTACTCCCTTTGCCAAAGTCTGCATAGTCCAAATAAATCTTTTAAGTATGGATGGAATATATAACTTTTTGAACATGCCCACAAAAATCTCCATTAAAAAATCTGGTATTCATTTTACTCTGGTTCTTACTTATTGATGCTCGTGTACTTCATTTCCCCTTTGGTAGGAGGCTGTTCAGTGTCATTTCCAGTCATTTCTCTTAGGCTCATTAAAGCTGAATGAATGTTGGTGGTTTTTTGTTTTTTTTTTTTTCACCATGTTAATACAGAGTAGCTTGCACTTCGTCAGAAATGTGTGAGCCTACCTGTCTGGGTTCAGCTTTTTACACTGTTTTTCTGTTGAAACATTTTACAAGTCACCTGTTGTCTTTCTTCCAACTTGATACAAAAAAGAAATATTTAAGCTTGTTACATTTTGTAAAAAAACAAACAAACAAAAACAAACGAAGAAAAAAAAGAGGTTGATTTTCTATTCAGAAAAAAAAAGAAACGCTGATATACAATATGTAGAAGTATTGTACTGTTGCTTTAAACTTTTAGTAGTGTAATAACCACTGGCGATCAGTCAATAAAAATGAGAACTGTTATCTCTATTAGCTCATACCTAGTACTGCTGAGCTGAAAGCACAGATAGCATTTCCAGTTTTGTAGACCTCAAATACCAGGTTTTAGCATTGTGTGTATGTTATTTTTTTCTAACAAACTGTAGAAATTTAACACACACAAAAAAAAAAGAGTTAGGGGCTTAACAAATGTACAGTAGGAGTCTGTGCAGCATACACTTTAAAACAAAATACAGTTTGATTGCATTTTTAGATTTCCTTCGTTGTTTTTGTTTGCTGTGGAAGTATGAAAAAGCTACCATGAATATTTCTTACCAAAGTCTCGTGTAGATGTTTTGTAGCTGTCCAGCTAACACATTATTATTTTGGAATAAAGACATCTTTACTATGAAATTTATACCTGTTGCAAGAGTGTCTATTCAACTGCTATCCTTATGTGCATCAAAACCCATACTGTGTCCCACACAAGGCATTAAGTCATGCTCTTATTCCTAGTTTTGTCCTGTTCAAGCTAATGGGATTTCTGGAATAAGCTGGCTTTTACTAAAGCCAGTCATTATTACCCCTTGGAAATTACCTGCCTTGAGGTTTCTGTTGGAGCAAGCGAGAGGCTGCTGCTGGCTCCTCACAGGCTCGCCGAGCTGAGGGTTGTTCCCCCCCTCCTGCTGCCCGCAGCGGGAAGAGGTTGCGCTGCACTCGGCCTGCAGAGCCCACTCGTCACACACAGACCTTACCTGCCTGCACTGGTATTTGCCTGCTGCACGTTACCAACATAGCTCACGAGTTAAATACAACACCCCCAGAATGTTTTCTACTTACCACATCCTTGAGCAGTGAGGAAACAAACACCACCAGAGGTTTAGAAGGTTAAAAAAGAGAAGGGATCTAGATCATTTAAAAATGTGACACAATGGTCTCTCCACCAAGAGCTCAAAAGGCACAAAATTCATGGAATGGGTGACCACCCCCAACCCCAATTTCCCCCCCATTTACCCAGCAGAGCACAGGGGAACAGGCTGCAGCACCCGGTGCTGCCCAGCTCAAGAAAGCACCTGTGAAAGTTCTAACGGTTAGAAACATCTCTCTAGCACTGAACTCCAGTTTAGGAACACAGAGGCAGTCAGCACATGGGCTATATCTATGTGTATAGGGCTCACTGTGTATGTGCTACATATCTGTAGGTCACTTCAGACTTGAGCATACAGTATCTGCAAACAGATTAGTCCCCAAAGGACAGAGCAGGGTACAGAAGGCAGTACTGAAACCTTGGCCTATAAATACACAGGCCTATGATTTCTTTATTGGAAGCAACACAAAGCGCAGCTACCCGGAGCACAGACGCAGAGCCGCCAGATGGCACTGGAAGGCAGCAGCAGGAGCCGCGCGCCGCAGCACCGCGCACGCGCGCGTCCAGCATCACGGGGTGCCGCGAGCC